CCCGATAGAACTCCTTCTTCAGCTTGACAGCCTCCCTAACCTGGGGTTTCCACCGTGGATGACCACCGTGAGAAGCACCGACAACCTTGCGGCCACAGCTCAAGGCAGCTACCTCAACAAGCGAGGCACGGAACATGGCCCACTCAGACTTAATGTCCCCCACCTCAGCTGGGATGCGGTTAAAGCTCTCCCGGAGGTGTGAGTTGAAAATCTCTCTGATGGGTTCTTCTGCCAGGCATTCCCAGCAAACCCTTACTACACGTTTGGGTCTACCGGGTCTGTCCGGCATCTTCCCCCGCCATCTGATCCAACTCACTACCAGGTGGTGATCAGCTGACAGCTCAGCTCCTCTCTTTACCCGAGTGTCCAAAACAATTTAGATCAGGTTTCACTTAAATTTCTGTCATTTAAAACAGCCCTGCTGTTAGCTCTGACGTCGGCAAAGAGAGTGAGTGATTGTCTGCTCTCTCTGTTGCTCCCTCATGTCTCAGAATTCAAGCTGACGACAGTTTTAACCCTGTTCTGAAAAGCATCACAAGCTCATTCAGATCGAGAGTGATAACCTTGGATGGGTTTTATCCTCTTCCTCATAATTGTAGTGAACTAGGCCTCCGACATCAATCTGTCTCTGAAGACCTTCAGGGGACAGGAACTGTTATTTCATTTATTTGAATCCAGAAATACAAATTATCTCATCAAGAGAACATTTAATTGTATCCTGAATTAATCAATTGAAAGAACACTCTTCTTTTTTTTTATATTATCATTACTATTTTAGAATATCTTGATAATCAAAAGTGTGTTTAGTTCATACCATTTCTAAATGTTGAAGTAAACCACTCATTTAAATCAACTGTGAAACAGTATTAATGATTTTTAAACCTCATTAGACTTTGATCATACAGTTAAATGTCTATTTACGAAGTAAGTGTGCATTTAGTCTTCTGTCTGTATGAGGAGTAGTGGACCTGATGTCGGTCGAAAGTCAGAGACAAGTTATGAGAACTAAGTGTCTTGTTTTAAAACTCTCAGACAGTAAATAAGAACTAGCTGGCACCTGCTTTGTCTCACTTCTTCATAATATTTCTCTGTCTGTACTATAACCGTTCTTAAACATTCCTGCTGTCTCCTGACTCCTAGTGACCCTCTGACATCACTAAAACTACACCCCTGCTGGTTGTTTCAACCAATCAGGAAGTACCACGTAACAGGAAGTGGATACCCTTTAAAAAGCAACACTTCTTGGAACTATTCAGTCTTTCCGAGTCTTCGGAGTCTTCGCAGTCTTTTCCAGTCTTCCGAGGCTTTCCAGTCTTCCTGGAACTTTCAGTCGAAGATGAGACTCAGTCTGATGGCGAGTCGTACAGGAACTTTCAGTTCTTACTGAAAGTCATCTAAGTAGCGGATGGATTTGACCATGTGCCAAGGGTCTCTCCATTCCAGCGTAGTCACAACCTGCCTCGGCTGTGACTCAACCCGAGCATTAAAAGCTCAACTTCTAAGGAAGCTTATTCTGTTGAACTGAGTACTTCGTCATGACTTCTGATGACCCCAGCTACTCTGACCGGAGACGCTGAAAAGGGAGTGTGCCAATGGACCTCTGTTCCGGAGTGGATGTATCCTCTGCTAAGGTAACAAAGTCGCTGCACGCCCTGAAGTGTACCGGAGGGCTGAGCTGGATTCGGAGGAAGAGTGCCATTTTTCTGGTTCAACACATAACTTTCATCCATCTAAACTTCCTCTATAAATCTATTCCTTCTCTTTAAACTTCTCTATTCGCCAGTAAGTCAAGCTAGATGCCTTCAGAGATGAATCAGTCTCAATCAGTAATGTTCTGTTGTCTTGTTTAGTAAATCGTGCCAAGTTTATTAATCAGAAACAGATCAGCAAATCAATGTGTACATGTTTTGATGTTAAATTTTGACTCTGTTAAATAAATGACCGCATTTATTCTGATGGGTCAAAGATAAAATGGCGTCTCATGTCACTGATTAAACACTCCACTCACAAGTTATCTCGGTCACATGGAAGAAATTTAACTCGAAAACAAAATAATCCGTTGTAATTGAACAATTAATATTCTTTGTGCTTGAACTAGCTTTAAGAATAATTAATTAGTAGTGAAGCTAACAGCTAGCTCACGACATAATTCTGAGGAGGAAGCAACATCTCACCACCTCTGTCCCGTGCGTGCGTTTTTCGTGTTACGTGGTACACACGGCCACACTGCGCTGCTCTTAGCGTCTGTGCATGCATTTCTGGGACAGCTCTTCAGGACGTCCTCTATCCACCCAGCGCCTCTCACACTGGTTGTGTGAGGCTATTTCTCAAGTTTACAGTTCATCTGAACTGGATCCTCCACCAGAGGGTTTTCATCCTCCATGACTCTGCATGGAGGGATGACAGTGGAGGATATTTGTAAGGCGGCTGCCTGGTCATCGCCATGTTCAATTATTTGTTTTTATCTACGTGATGTTTCTACTTTCTCCATGACCCATTCTGTTCTCAGGGTTCTGACAGAATGATTATTTGTTTCATGGAGCTTCACTTTTGAGCTCACACCTGCCTGCATGCAGTCGCAGTGTGAGATATTTATTATCAGTCACAAGTTCATGACTGCTGATTTTATCGTTATTAATCGGTTCATCCTGAGGAGATGTTGGTCTGCTCTGTTCATCGTTACACTGTTACAATTCGTATCCTCCGTTGTTCCTATTCACAGCAGCAGGTCTGCTATCTCAGCCTTTTTCCTCACCAGAGATTTTTTCTCACCAGAGCATGGAGTGCGTATTTACACACACAGAAGGCTGAGTGATGAAATGTTTTTTGTGCAAGCAGGTGCTTCATGTTGTGTCTGAATGGACCCAGTGAGGCATAGACTACATCCTGCTTCGCCTTTAACCCACTAGCGACAGTCTTAAAGGGTGAAGCCTATATGAAATAGAACGTTGGTTACGTACTGTAACTCCGGATTCTATGAGAATAGGCGTAGCCCTTTAAGCTCTGGGCTTCACTGGTTCCTAAATGGCTGAAGAAAAAAAGCTATTTGGGAGCCGATTACCCGCTCTCACCGTAATTTATACGGACCGGGGGTGAGGCCCACACAGCCGGTGGGCGTGGACTAAAGTTTTCAGTGCTGCGCTGTGCACAAATGGATAAACCCAGTATAAAACCAGTACAAATACATGTAGAGCTAAAATTAATAACCATCTAATTGCAGAAAAAAATTAAGTATCTAGTTGTAAAGGTGGAAATTAAATGAAACATGCTGAAATATCATGTGACTGTATTGCAACAATTACAATACTAGATCAAATGTTTGATCAAATACAACTGGTTATACGTCAGTAGAGCGCTATTTAAATACAGTACATTTACCATTTTATGATTTACTACTCCACACAGAGCTGTCTATGCTCTGGTGGTAACTGCTGCGTACACTTCAGAGACTGAACCCATAATCTGGCTTAAGCCGGTATCTCGCTGAGCTGCAACGAGTTGGCAAACAACATCCGTGACAGATCTTCCAAGTATTTTTCTGGGATTATTGAGTCTCGTGTCACAGAAGCTCACAGCCTCTTGAACTTTGTACATATAAAATAAAATTGTTACAATTTTTCACCCAAAACACTAGGAAATGTATTAAGAGTTCAGTTACTGCCTGGGCGGCATATGATGGTATGATATGATGTTGTTTAATGATCTGCACAGCATTACAACCGTCCTTCCTTGGTGTGGTTTGTCTTGGGTGACTGGAACCTTCACTATAGTTGTGGGTGCACTCATGTTTCTACACAGGTCACTGTAACATCTGTACACGTCACATGCCAGGCTATTGCACAATGTGTCCACACAGCTCGACCCAAACTCACAATATGACCTCATCAAACTGTCAAGTACTGTAATGTTGGCTAAAATGTCTGCCAGGCATCCTCTGTGCCTGCTGAGCTTCACGTGGCACTGTTTGACTGAAGTATCAGATGCTCTGGCAACTGCCCAACAAGACTGTTGCTCCAATTATGATGTGTTCATTACAGATATGCTAATTTCTAGGAAAAGGGTACACACTGATCTGCATTTGTACAAAAGTATGTGCTGCCCTGTGGATGGATGACAGTAGAGCTGGTTCGTGGAAGGTGCACCTCAGCATTAGCCTTTTAGTTTCTGCATTAGCTCCAGAGCTAATAGGGTTAGCTCTAGAGCTAATGCAGATGGTGTCGATTTCAAAAAATTGAAATGTAGGAAAGACCCCATTTAGACCATGATACATCACAAAGTACTGACTTCGATCAAGTGCATTAGTAACTGCAACGAGGTCAAGATTCGTCAGTCATTCCTCTGGGATCTGTCTCACTTTGACTGGCATCGTATTCTGTTAACTGATGATGTGAACTCTGCTTGGAACTATTTCCATAATAATTTCATTTATTTCCTGAACTTACATGCTCCTTTTCGTCAGTTCAGAATAAAGGGACGAGACAGCCCCTGGTTTACTCCAGAGCTAGCTGACCTCATGCACAGGAGAGATCATCTTTGGGCCGCAGCGAGAAAATCTGGCTCAGACACTGACTGGTTGAGTTTCCGACAGATGAGGAATAAATGTACAACTTCTGTCAAAGCAGCAAAACGCAACTATTTCTTATCTCAGACTTCCAAAAATCTAAATGACCCTAACAGATTCTGGAAAACAATTAAATCTCTCTCAGGCACCCCCCAATCATCTGACCTCCCATCACAACTTCTCGTTAACTCTGCTCCTGTGTCAAATAAGCACGAGATCCTGAACTGTTTCAACAAACATTTTGTTGCTTCTGGTTCTTTATTTGACACAGTTACTAATGGAAGATCAGCCACTTCACTTAATAACCAAACTTCTACAAATCAAATCCCTCCTACAAGTCAATCCTCAGTTAATCACACCTTCTCTTTTTCTCCATTCTCAGTCAGTGAGGTCAATAAACTGTTAAAAGATCTTGATCCTAAAAAATCTGCAGGTCCAGATGAACTTCCACCTTATTTCTTAAGGCTGGCTGCTCATATCATCACAGTCCCTGTGACCCACATCTTCAATCTCTCCATAAGACAAAACTCCATCCCAGACACTTGGAAAACAGCCTTTGTTCTTCCTTTGCTGAAGGGAGGTGACCCCACCTCACTGAACAACTATCGACCAATCTCTAAACTCTGCATTTTAGCCAAGGTTCTAGAAAAACTGATAAACTCTCAAATCAAAAATTACCTGGACTCATTTAACATCTTACCTCCACATCAATCTGGTTTCAGGAAACAACACAGCACAACCACTGCTTCACTGAAGGTTCTTAATGACGTTGTTGAAGCACTGGATGCTAAGGATTATTGTGCTGCACTTTTCTTAGACCTGTCTAAAGATTCTGACTCTGTGGATCAGAACATCTTGTGTCATAAACTCTCAGAAATCGGTTTCTCAGATCACACCATTGGTTGGTTCTCTAACTATCTTTCAGACCGGAGGCAATGTGTTCAACATAATGGTACTTCCTCCAGTTATTTAACAGTCAACAATGGTGTACCACAAGGCTCAGTCTTAGGACCCACCCTCTTTACAATCTACATACATAATGTAGGTAAAAACATCCCTAATGCATCCTTACATTTCTATGCTGATGACACAGTTGTTTATTGCCGAGCTAAAACTGTTGCTAAGGCTTTCCAGCTTTTGAAATCTGCATTCAACATCATCCAGACAGATTTGTTTCACCTCAAACTTGTCCTAAATGCCGAAAAAACCAAAGGGATGATTTTTTCAAATAGGAAGTTGGTCCCAGCAGTTCTTCCTCCGATTTTATCCTCAAATGGTGTCCCCATTGAGTTTGTTGATTCCTATAAATATTTGGGTATCTTGGTCGACTCACATCTTTCTTTTAAGCTCCATGTGGAAAACTTGGTAAAGAAACTGAAAATTAAACTGGATTTCTTTTTCAGAAACAGATCCTGTCTAACCCTGAATGCTAGAAAACGCCTTGTATCTGTGACTTTCCTTCCCTCAATTGATTTTGGTGATATTATTTACATGAACGCTCCTACAAGAACCCTGCAGATGTTGGATGCAGCAGATGTTGGATGCTGCAGATGTTGGATGCAGCAGATGTTGGATGCTGCAGATGTTGGATGCTGTCTATCATGGTGCACTAAGATTCATAACTGGCTGTGATTATCGTACCCATCACTGCACCCCGTATTCACTGGTTAACTGGACATCATTAACTTCACGCAGACTCTCTCACTGGTACATTTTCATCTTTAAATCACTTCTTGGTCTGCTGCCTTCATACATCTCCTCCTACATGTCTCTGTGTGAGTGCAGCTACAGCGTGCGCTCTCAGGACATTATTACCTGCAGTGTTCCCTCAGTGAGGACTGAACTAGGCAAAAGGACCTTCTCCTACTCCGCTCCTGTTTCCTGGGATATCTTACAAAAAGATTTGAAGCTCTCGACCTTTGACCTCTCTAAGTGGCTTTAAGAATCTGTTGGACTCCTGGCAGGAACCAATGCAGACATGTTCCTGTTTTTAGTTTTATACATTTGTCTTGGAATCTAGCTGGTTTTTTTGTTTTGTTACCTTTTCCTTTTAGCCATCCTATTTGTTAAAAAAAAAAAAAAAAAAAAAAACTGTAGTATGAGTTTTTATAACTGTTTATTGTTGTTGCTGTTGTCCATTGTTGTCATCTTTCTTTGTTGAAATCAGGTCTCTCTTGTAAATGAGTCCTCGAGGCTCAATGGGATTTACCTGTATAAATAAAGGTTGATTGAAGATACACAGCTGTAGAGCTAATGTAGAGCTAATGGTGTTAGCTCCAGAGCTAATAACATTTTAAGTTGATCACATTTGATCGTTTTGACCCATATATTGTGCATAACAGCATGAGGATTTGTGCAAAGTTTAAATTTATTGTCACACAACTTTAGACTTGATTCATGTTTTAGTCTCGACTGCAACCTATTTGCATCATTGTCCCACAATGCATTGTGTCATTAAATTATTGGTGACATTGTGAAGTGAAAAATTTAATAAACATTCAGTTTTTAAGTAACTGGGAGTTTTCGCGTGTCACAATGAACTTTTAGTAGAACAGAGAAATAACAAATTAAGGCCAACATGTGCAAGTAGATCCCTTTAAGAGGTTGAATAAAGAAAAATGTTTTATGTTTTGGGAATTTGAAGTCCTGTTTATCTTGTTTTCAGCTGGTATGGATCAGAGACGGCTCCTCTCCTGTTTGCCAACAATCCTCCAGACCAGAGCCACCAGCACCACTCTCTCTACTCCACACCACAGAACTGACCCTGACCCTCAACCACTGTGCGAGCCACTATGTCCATGATGACTTATGTCACGGACAGGATCGCACGCATGCAGCCACATGTACCTCCCACTGTGGGAGGATTTGCACTGAGAAACTCAGGAAAACAAGGAGTATGCACCTTGCAGAGGAGAACTGATTTTATGATGCACCGCTCTCGGACATTAAAGGGAACAAGAGAAGTTGGAAGTGTTTTGCCAGATTTAAATGAAGGACTGTGTCTCATTTAGCTCCAAAAGAAAATGAAATGGAGCTTATATTTATTTATTTACAAACCTGTTCAGATCCTTCAACGTCAGCAGACTGACAATTCTTAGTAATGTGTCATAAAGCTTCATTTACATTCCTCAATGAACGCCAAGCAGCACATGTCTTTACTGCAGCAACTCTGGGCTGCATACGTGTCTATGTGTGTGTGTGTATATATATATATATATATATATACACACGTACACAATCCTGTGGTTTTGGTAATAGTTTTTTTAATACACTTAAGTGTATGTTTAAGAGACTAAACTACAAATGATTGTATTTACTTTATATCTGGAGGTTTTCATCTGCTGTTTCTTTGCTGCAACATTTAGTTGTTTTTGATTCTTATTGCCCTCTTGTATAATTCTATATTTGTGATCCTATGTTTTATTTATGACTGTTTTTAAACTGTACAATAAATCAAATGTTCTCCTAGAACAAACAGGTTTGCCTTTGCTGCTCACCTGAGGCACTGACGTAAGACTGGCACTGGATTTGTTACCAAACCAAATAAACTGCTGACACAAACCTGCTCGTCTTGTTGCCACGCACAAAGTGTTGATGGTGAAGTGCAGCTGTGTTTTTATGTTTCAGCCTCATTCAGCACTAAACACGTGATCCACAGGTCAATCTGGTTTTCCCTTTACCTGTTAGAGCAAGTTTTAGTATAAAACAAAATGTTTTAAAGCCTTTCTTATTAAAGTTTGATAACCGTTGAACATATAACACTTTGGTGCATTCAAGTAAATGAAGAAGAAGAAAAATGCATTCAAAATAAGGTACATAAAGTATTTAAGATAACTACTCAATAAATAATAGAGTTTAAAGAAAGTCTTTTGCATATGTGTCAAGCTCAAGGCCCAGGGGCCATATGTGTGAAATACTGTAAAATACTTCTATCCCTTTAATTTTTCTCAGTAATCTTTGATTATGATGTCAAAAGTACAGCAGAGAACATCAAATGAGACCAATCAAACTCTTGTTGAGGAACCCGTGACCAAGAAAAGTTGTTGGTTTCTAACTTGAGTTCACGTAGATTCTGAAACCGGCCCTTCGTTTGAAAAAAGTTTGAATTTTGGACCCTTTGTAAGTGAGTTTGACACCCCGATCTATTGCAAGAAAATTCTGTTTTCTGACCTAAACTTAGAATGTTGTCCCAATACAGATACTTGTATCAGGCCTACACTAGTTTAAAGTACTTGTACTCATAAAAATCCAATACTTAGGACCGTCACCACTTTTATGCCTGGTGACATGATTTCCTCCAACTTTGTAAGTAACCGAGGACAAAAACTAAAACTTGTCCATCGTTTCGAGACATTTGAAGATAAATGTGGGTGATCTTAAGACTGATTGCTGTGTTCTGAATAAAAGAAATGTTTGTAAGTCAGCGTAACTCATAACTACGCGTGTATCCGTACTCTATCAGCAAGTACTCTGTACAATACTTGTACTCAGTTTGAAAAACAAGTATAACCTGTCTAAATAAAGGTTGAATGAATGAATCAGGACACCCCTAATTTTAGAAAAATAATCTTTTTTTTTTTTTTAAAGGTACTGCTCCACTTACAATAATGCAACAGCCAGAGATTTAACATGTTCTGGTTGAAACTTGTCCTTCTCTTTGACAAATCCTTCCAAGATCACAACCTTTTGTCTTTTTTTGAGGGGATAATAAAAATGTTAACTCAAAACTGATTTTGAATTAAAGGCATCAGTTGTGAAGATGCAACCCAAAGTTTTAAACAACGGATCTCACACAACAGAGCTCAGAGTACGTGTTTGGGATGACTCAGCAACTACCAAGTCAATTTTATCCTCTGAATATTTAAAAGTACAGGTGCTGGTCATAAAATTTGAATATCATGAAAAAGTTGATTTATTTCAGTAATTCCATTCAGAAAGTGAAACTTGTATTTTATATTCATTCATTACACACAGACTGATATATTTCAAATGTTTATTTATTTTAATGTTGATGATTATAACTATGGGCAGCACGGTGGCACAACTGGTAGAGCTGCTGCCTCTCAGCGAGCAGGTCCCTGGTTCAAACCCCGGTCCAGGGGCCTTTCTGGGTGGAGTTTGCATGTTCTCTCTGTGCATGCGTGGGTTTTCTCCGGGTGCTCCAGTTTCTTCCCACAGACCAAAAACATGCATGTTAGGCTGATTGGTAACTCTAAATTGTCCCTAGGTGTGAGTGAGAGAGTAAATGGTTGTTTGTCTCGTTTGTCTCTATGTGTCCCTGTGATGAACTGGAGACCTGTCCAGGGTGTCCCCCGCCCCTCGCACAGTGATTGCTGGACATGGGCATCAGCGAACCCCGTGACCCAAAATGGAATAAGCGGGTAAAGATGATAGATGGATGGATGATTATAACTGACGAACTAATGAAAATCCCAAATTCAGTATCTCACAAAATTAGAATATTACTTAAGACCAATAAAAAAATTAAAAAAAAGATTTTTAGTAACGTTGGCCAACTGAAAAGTATAAACATGAAAAGTATAAACATGAAAACAATAAACATGAAAAGTATAAACATGAAAAGTATAAACATGAAAAGTGTAAACGTGAAAAGTATAAACATGAAAAGTGTAAACATGAAAACAATAAACATGAAAAGTGTAAACATGAAAACAATAAACATGAAAAGTATAAACATGAAAAGTATAAACATGAAAAGTGTAAACATGAAAAGTATAAACATGAAAACAATAAACATGAAAACAATAAACTTGAAAACCATAAACATTGTTTTGTTTAACAACAAATAAACAACAGACACCCCAGGTTAGGGAGGCTGTCAAGCTGAAGAAGGAGTTCTATCGGG